TATCTTACTGGAGGCTATTCTGGGATTAGCCACTGGAGCTTAAATTGTAAACAGGTTGAGGCACTTACACAGATCTCTCCATAGATATTAACTTCGCCTTCTGAATTTATGGATTCTGTTCATTGCTAGCTTGGCTAAAAATGGCTCGATGTTCTTAGCTGCTTCTGAGTAAATATAGCAGTTGACAGCTGTAGTGAATTAATGCACATGTAGAATCAGCCTAAAATTTGATGTTCTTCCTCTGCTAAACAGGAACCTGTACTTTTTAACGGAAGTGTTTAGTGCTATGGTAGGGGAGTGGGATTTCTGTGAAGGGAGTAGAGGATCCAACACACAGCACGCACAGAGACTTTAAGAAAGTTCAAACTTTCTGCAGATTGACCTTGTCAGGTAGAGCTTGACAAAGTCTTTGATCCCAGGTGACTAATTTGTCTGTCCAGACAGAAAGAACTTGCCTAGACAAGTCTGGGGACAAGTAGCTTTGCAACAGCTCGCAACAGCTTTGCAACAGCAGAAAATTCTGCCAGTTCTGTAAATCCTGTTACCTCTGTAACAGAATCATAGTTATTTGTAGCTTGTCTTGTATTTCCCGCTAGTTGCAAATGGGAATTGGGGTACAATAGGGTAATAGCCAACTTTATAATTGGCTATTCAAGGGTTAATATATTGTATATTTTCACAGCACTTCTCGCCCCAAAGGTTACGACAGCAGCTTACAAGATACAGTGATGTATGCACATACAGCACCCCTGAAATGTGGACACATTTGTCTTGGAAAGCAACAACCACCTCAGCAACTAGTATACTGCACAGCAGTATGCAAGGATGAAAACGGGTTGACTGAGAAAAGCAGGACAAAGCCGTCTTCTCTTAAAATGCCTTGGCATCCTTTGTGTCCGCACAGACCAGACTGGAATTCCTGTTTTGTTTTTGGGGTTTTTTTTGTAAATCTTTCTGAAAGCTCCCCTGCACTCGCGTTCTGTCAAGTTTTTAATGTTGTGGCTGGAGCATGTTTAGACTAATCTGTAAGTGAAGGGATTTTAAATTCATAAACAGTGGAACCATAAATTTCATAACATGATGGAAGAAAATAATTGTGAGAATATGGCATTTTGGAAAGTGTTCCATGGAGTCTGATTGGTACAAGTGTACAATCTGGGGGGCTGGACTTTGCCCACAAAGACCAGCACATACAAGTCCTATTAACAGTAATTATGGCACTTTGGGGTGCTTGTTTCAGTGGGTTGCAGTAGTTCTGTGAACTACCATTTCCAAGTGTCTCATACAGTGAATTTTTCTTCATACAAGAGCACATAGTGTCAATCAATCTTGTCATCTTGGTTGTGGTTGCAGTGCTACTTCCAAATAGGAAGAGATTCCCAAAGCAGGACAGACAGTCTAGAAGGGAACTGGAATGAGCTACCACTAGCTTATTCAAATAAACAAGTTTCAGAGGAACAGCCGTGTTAGTCTGTATTTGCAAAAAGAAAAGGAGTACTTGTGGCACCTTAGAGACTAACCAATTTATTTGAGCATGAGCTTTCGTGAGCCACAGCTCACTTCATCAGATGTTTACCGTGGAAACTGCAGCAGACTTTATATACACACAGAAATCATGAAACAATACCTCCTCCCACCCCACTGTCCTGCTGGTAATAGCTTATCTAAAGTGATCAACAGGTGGGCCATTTCCAGCACAAATCCAGGTTTTCTCACCCTCCACCCCCCCACACAAATTCACTCTCCTGCTGGTGCTAGCCCATCCAAAGTGACAACTCTTTACATAATCAAGTCGGGCTATTTCCTGCATAGATCAAGGTTTTCTCACATCCCCCCCACCCCCATACACACACAAACTCACTCTCCCGCTGGCAATAGCCCATCCAAACTGACCACTCTCCAGGTTTAAATCCAAGCTAAACCAGAACATCTGGGGGGGGGGGGGTAGGAAAAAACAAGAGGAAACAGGCCACCCCGCATAACGACCCAGCCACTCCCAGTCTCCATCCAAGCCCAAATCAACAGTATCCAATCTGCAAACGAACTCCAACTCAGCAGTCCCTCGCCGGAGCCTGGACTCGAAGTTTCCCTGTTCCAAGATAGCGACCTTCACGTACTTGCGCTGTATTGGTGGCGTCTTCATCATCTGGACCCATGGAGGGGAGGCCCTTGAGGAATTCCACCATGATTTCAACAATTTCCGTCCCGCCACCAGCCTTGGCCTGGTCCGGTCCACACGGGGAGATCCACTTCCTGGACACTGCAGTGCTAGTGGACAATGGCCACATGGACGCCGCCCTGTGCCGGAGGCCTGCTGGCCGCTGTTCCTGCCTGCATGCCTCCGGCTTTCGCCCTGACCACACCACACGGTCCGTCGTCTGCAGCCAGGCTCTGCGGTGCAGCCGCATTTGCTCCGGCCCCTCGGACGGAGGCGGGCACCTGCGGGATCTCTGTCAAGCTTTCTTGCAGCTGCAGTGCCCACCTGCGGAGGTGGGGAGGCAGGTTGGTAGAGCCAGAGGAGTTCCCGGAGGTTACCTACTACAGGACAGGCCTAACGAGGAAGGTAACGGGGCGCCACTGGCGGTCGCCTTCGGCCCCCAACTGGGGCCCCTCCGGCGCATTATTAGGGATCTACGGCCTGTCCTGGGGGATGGCCCAGCACTCTCACAGGTCTTGGGAGGCAGGCCGGTCCTTGCCTGCGGACAGCCCCGCAACCTGAAGCGGATGCTCGCCGGCAGCCACGTGCCACGCGGCGGAGCCACTGGCCCAGGAACTTGTCCTTGCAACGGGGCCCGTTGCCAATTGTGCCCACGTGTCTGTTCGGGGGACACCATCACAGGGCCTAGTGACATCGGCCGCACTGTCGGGGGCTCGTTCGCCTGCGCGTCCACCGGTGTGATATGTGCCATCGTGTGCCGGCGATGCCCCTCTGCCGTGTGCATTGGTCGGGCTGGACAGTCTCTACGTGGAGGAATGGATGGACACAAGTCAGATGTCAAGAATTGTAGCATTCATGGACCGGTCGGGGAGCGCTTCGGTCTCTCTGGTCACGCAGTCGCAGACGTGAAGGTCGCTATCTTGGAACAGGGAAACTTCGAGTCCAGGCTCCGGCGAGAGACTGCTGAGTTGGAATTCGTTTGCAGATTGGATACTATTGATTTGGGCTTGGATGGAGACTGGGAGTGGCTGGGTCGTTGTGCAGGGTAGCCTGTTTCCTCTTGTTTTTTCCTACCCCCCCCCCCCCAGATGTTCTGGTTTAGCTTGGATTTAAACCTGGAGAGTGGTCAGTTTGGATGGGCTATTGCCAGCGGGAGAGTGAGTTTGTGTGTGTATGGGGGTGGGGGGGATGTGAGAAAACCTTGATCTATGCAGGAAATAGCCCGACTTGATTATGTAAAGAGTTGTCACTTTGGATGGGCTAGCACCAGCAGGAGAGTGAATTTGTGTGGGGGGGTGGAGGGTGAGAAAACCTGGATTTGTGCTGGAAATGGCCCACCTGTTGATCACTTTAGATAAGCTATTACCAGCAGGACAGTGGGGTGGGAGGAGGTATTGTTTCATGATTTCTGTGTGTATATAAAGTCTGCTGCATTTTCCACGGTAAACATCTGATGAAGTGAGCTGTGGCTCACGAAAGCTCATGCTCAAATAAATTGGTTAGTCTCTAAGGTGCCACAAGTACTCCTTCAAATAAACAAGTAACTCTCCTGTGAGCAAGCCAGGTATGGTCTGAGTTTGCCACTTCCCTGCAAAGAAAGCACTGCTTTACAGATTAGTTAACCTCTGTAACTAATCGGCAGTGGTGATGTCAGCATGTCTCTTTGCCAACTTGGAATCCCAACTTGTCCCTATCAATTGATTATTTTCTGTTTCTGTAAGGACTCAGAGGGGTGGTAGCTGTGGCTAATATCACGATTGTGTTGAGCACCGGTAGCATGCTTAGAATTGTCCAAACATAAGATGCTCCTGTCTCATAGAGTGTGCAGTGAACTAGTCTGTTCAATGAATAAGTGTGAGGCCATTGATGATAGGGGTTTAATGCAAACCTTTTTCCAGATCTGAAACTCTAGATTCAAATCAGTCTGGTCACAGTGTAGGGGTGCAGTTGAAACTTTTGAGCTGAGGGTCACTGTACTTTCTCTTGCTGGAAACAGTGATAAAAATGGAGGGATGTCTTTTTGTGGGTGGGGCAGCAGGAGATAAAGGGGGAAATGAAATAGCAATCTGAGGTACTGTTTCAAGCTTTACAATGTAAATGCAGAGGATAACATTTTGTCTGCCATTTTGAATACCTTACATACGGACATACGGAAAGCCCCACTTTAAATGCTCTTTATGTGACTCTTGCTGCCCATCAGCAGCTCAGTAATACTTCTTAACCCTTAACTTTTTCACTCTGTCCAGGCCAACTTTCCAGTTCAGCCATGTGGAGCCAGAAGCCTTTGATCAGATCAGAGATGAACACCCAAATTCCCTGTATTGGTGGCTACATTGCTTTCAAGGAGGCATGTAGTCACCAGCACAAGGAATTCTGAGGTACTTTGTGATGGGAAGTCTTGGTGTTGCTCTGTGGGAAAGAATTTCTACCCACAGACATAAGGGATAACGGGGAGGCAACCCAGATGAGGCTTAAACGATTTTCAAGGGGCCGTACAATAAATGTATGCACACTACTGCTGCATAGCTTGATTCTTCCTTAGAACTGGGTGAATGGGAGCGTCTGCCTAGTCTCCAGTGGATTTTTGCCTACTGCACAACTTGCTATTGTTGGCAGTCTGTTTGTAAGAGGGAGTAGCAGGTCAGCAGGATTTGGAGGTGCACTAAAAGTGCTGTGTGGGAAAGCCAGCACTATGCCTGTCTACACCACCTGTCAACATGCACTTTTGCTAATCATTCAGTATCTTGAACACCCAACTTAGATAATTGTACAAAAGGAGGCATCTGAATGAACGTTTGTTCCACTTGTGACTTGGTTTCAACCTGTTTTATTTTTTGTTTAGGGTCATCCAGTAGCCGCCACCCAAACCAGGTGACTCCAAAGAAGAGTGGCCTGAAGAACGGTCAGATGAAGAGTAAAGACGATGAGTGTTTTGGAGATGACATTGAGGAAATCCCAGACACAGATTTTGATTTTGAAGGGAATCTGGCTCTTTTTGATAAGGCAGCAGTGTTTGAAGAGATTGACACTTATGAGAGGAGGAGTGGCACTCGCTCCAGGGGTACCCCCAACGAGAGGCCAGCTCGCTACCGGCATGACGAGAATATCCTGGAATCAGAGCCCGTCGTCTACAGACGGATCGTCGTACCCCAAAATACTAACAAGGAATTCTGCACTGGTATGCTGGTCCTTTTACTTCTGAGGATGCTTATTCCATGGCTCCTCCAGGAGATAACTGGGAAGTGTTCCCACAGGGGGCATCTGTCACCTTAGTGCAACAAGCATGGCTATTCATTTACAGAGACTTGGATCCATGCACTTTACCACAGTATTTACATTATAACCCTCTTTATCTGCCATGTTTCAGACATCAAAAGCATAAAGGTAAAAGGGGATAAGCTTACAGTAGGGAACAAGGCCAGGATTTGGAGAAAAGGAGTTACAGTGGAACAGAGTTGTCTTGTGAACTATCAGACTAGGTTCATGTGACTTGTGACAATTGGAACCAAGGCTTAGCTCTCAGTAGCGTGGAGAGCCTGTGTGGATTGACCCCTAACTCTCAAGAGGGTTTGTCTCAGGATTCAGTACATGTGACCATCTTGGCACTTTTGGTATGTTGCTTGTGATATGAGGCAGTACAGTTCATGAGCTTTTGATGTTCTGCCTGGGTTTGAATAGCATCTGCCAGTAAAGCTGCTAACATGCTTTATTGTTTAAAATTTGAAATCTAGTCAATTTAAAATGGTGAGTTGAAAGTAGTTTCAGGTACTACATGTATTCCTGAATGTCCATGTCCAAATGTTGTAGTTTTACAGTCATTCTCTTTTTTTAACCACTTTTGCCTGTTGCTGTGTGAAAGGTCCAGACAAACAGGAAACTGCATGTAGTGCTGTTAGGGGCACAAAACACATTTTGATAACTAGGGAGATACATCCCTCCCCCCTCACGTCCTCCCCGTTCTGTTTAAAGTAATCTGAGCTGTTACAAGAATGTAAAACTTGATTTTTTTTTAAGCGGTGACTGTTCCTTTAACTTGAAGTTTTCATCATGTAAAATCCTGTTGACGAACCTATTAATTCCTTAAGTGGCCCAAACAGTGCATCTCAAAACTACCTGCAGCGCTCCTACGCTTTCCGGTCCTGTGCAGCGGTTAATAGCACTGTTCAGTGCAAAGCATAGTATAAGCAGTTATTGTGCAAGTTTTCCCCAACTGTGTGAATGCACCCCTGCAATTCCAGTACCAATGCCTTCCTAGCAGACAGCAAGCTGTCAGACTGAGGGGTTAGTCATGTGTGGGTCAGTGAGTTATATTTGATTGTTAGTAGCTGTGGAATCTAAATATAGAAAATGTTTGTGTTAGGCCACCTAGTCCATCTCCCTGAGGCAAGTGTAGGATTGTTCCCTACTGCACAAAGCACTAGTAAGTGTTCAACTGGTTTTAAATACCGCAAGTGACGGTACTTCCAGCGCTACCTCTGGGAACCAATTCCTCAGGCTAAGAGATTTCACTATTGGGAAGCTTTCCTGATAATCTACCCTTATTTAGCGATAATTTCAACCCATTGACACTCTTAGTTATACCCCCTTTTACTTATATTAAATAGTTTCTTTCCCTTTTTGAGTGTACACGCTTCAAACATGTGCGGACAGAGTCTTCTATACCCTTAATTGATGCTTAGCTAAATGATACATAGTTATAAACATCTTAATCTTATTTCCTCCAACCTCCTAATCATTCTTGCAGTTCTTCCTTTAGTACATTGGTATTTTTCTGGTGACGTGTTTAGCAGAACTGAACACAATATTCAGAGCCACCTAGACTATTACTTTCCTGTTGTTTGCCATGCCTTTGGATTTGTGGCCCAAAATTTCATTGGCCTATCTTTGTTTTGCTATCGTGTTACCCTCCAGATAAACTCTGTCCCCCCGAGTCTGAGTATTTGTTTTTAGGGATATCAGGAGCAGGCCACCTTCTGCTTCCATGTAGGGAGTCAGTTGTTGGGGATGGAGAGATTACATGCAAGAGCAGTGTTAGGTGGGAGGTGCCATGGCCTGAATCACTTCTTGCTGCTGGGAATGAGTCTGCCAAACCTTATCTCTTTGTCTGCCTAATATAAACAAGTGGAGGATGGAGAGAATTTTCTCTTTGCCTGATCAAACTGCTGACACATCAGTTAGCCCTCACCTCTAGCATGAAACCAGTTAATCACAGAACTCAGTTTCAATCAACAAACTTGTGGTTTACAAAAAAAAAAAGCCTGAAATGAATGTGCTGGACCTCAGCCAAGAAATTGGATCAGAGTTTATTTTGGAGCTGTAACCTAATGTGAAAGTTAAGCAGGGAGTATGTATAAGAGACATATAATCTAAAGGCCTGAATTTGAAATTGACAAAGGTTGGATAAACAGTTATTCTAACATACAGAGCTTCTAGTACAGGAGGTCCTTGTTTCTTGTTGTGCGGTTTATTTCCTTCCTTATTTCTACTAAGATGTGTACAAACAAGACTTGTATTTATATTTGTCCTGGTGACATCTTTTAATTCAACTAATGAGGTAAATCTCCCACATCTTTTGTAAGAATTGCATCTCCTAGAAGGCTGTATCTTCATAACCTAATACTCGAGGGAGAAGGGTGGGGCGGGTAAAAAGAGAGCAAAGCCAGAGTTTGGAAATGAAATCCTCTTCTCAACTTGGCACTCTCCTACCTCAGAACTGTTTTTGGCTCGTCAAGTGCTCAGTATATTAAACTAAGTAATGACTGAAAGGGGATCAGAGCAGTAAATTAGCTGCTCTTTTTGTTGCAGTGTGGGGCAGGGGAGAGGATAAGTGATTCTTGTCTGTATAGTTTCCATAACGCCTTAAAGTCTAGGATGAAAAGTAGTGTATAAAGCTAAGGGATGGATCATTCTACGGGGTCTTCCTAGCCTATATAGCTAACTTTCTGATGAGTCTTCCAGATGGAATTCTACCTTTGTTTGCAAAAAAAAAAAAAAAAAAAACTGTCACTATACAGTAGGAAATCAATCAGACATTGAATTCCCTGTTTGTGCTTACTAGGGCACATCTGCAGTCCCTTGGGGGGTGATAGAAAAGTTCCACTTCTCAGGGGTGGCAGGTTTGTAGAAATTTTGGTGGTGCCCAGAACCCGCCCCCCACCTGCCTTGGGCTCTGGGAGGGAGTTTGGGTGGGGGGAGGAGATCTAGGGTGCAGGCCTTGGGCTGGGGCAGGGGATTGGGGTGCAGGCTGTGGGAGGGAGTTTGGGTGCAGAAGGGGTGAGAGGTTGGACTCTGGGAGGGAGTTTGGGTGGGGGGCAGGGTATGGGATGCAGGCTCTGGGATGGAGTTTGGTTGCTGGGTGCAGGCTCTGGACTGGGGCAGCAGGTGGGGGTGCAGGAGGGGGTGAGGGGCGCAGGCTCTGGGGCGGAGTTTGGGTGTAGGCTCCGGGCTCGGGTGAGGGGTGCAGGCTGTGGGAGGGGGTGCAGGGGTGAGGGTTGTGGGGTGGGGCTGGGGATGAGGGATTCATGATGCAGGAGGGGGCTCAGGGCTGGGGCGGAGGGTTAGGGTGCAGGTGCTGGGGAATGAGGGCTCTGGCTGGGATGAGGGGTTTAGGAGGGGCTCAGGGCTAAGGCAGAGGGTAGGGATGCAGGGGGCGTGAGGGCTCTGTCTGGGGCTGGGGATGAGGGGTTTGGGGTGTTGGAGAGGTTCAGGGCTGGGGCAGAGAGTTGCGGTGCGGGGGGCAGGTGGAGGGCTCTGGCTGGCGTTGCAGGCTCTGGGGTGGGGCAGGGCTGGGGATGAGTTTGGGGTGCAGGCAGGTTGCCACGGGGCCGGGGCCAGAAAGGAGGACTCCCCTCAGCCCTCTCCCCACTGGCAGCAGTGAGCTCTGCCTACAATCCTACAATTCCCCTTCTCCCCCACCCAGCAGCACACTCACCCCACACCGCTGTCACTGCACATGCTCCTAGGGCCCCTTTCAGGCCCAGGAAGCCCCCTTGCCTCCCCTGTGGTGGGTGCCGGGCAGGGGCGGGGGGGCTGCCATCACATGTGCACTTACTCCCTTGCTGCTGCCCCTCACTGTAGCCTCACTGGGGTGGGGGGTGGGGCTGCCCCTTGCCCAGTGTGGGCAGGAGCGGTGACTGCGGGCAGGGGGGCGCCCTGTGCTGGTGGAGGGTCCCACCGGAAAAAGGAAGGGTCCGAGGCAGAAGGGCAGGGCAGGCTGGAGGGGGGCGCACTAGGACTCTGCAGCGCAGCTTGGAGCTGCAAGGGAGAGGCAGGATGCTCCGGGACCCGGGGGAGGCACGCGGGAGCAGCAAGTGGGGGCCGGGGGACACTCGGGGGAGGAGTGAGGGGCGGCAGGCACGTGCTGCGGGGCTGGGGGAGAGACCTGGCCCCAAACATTGGTGGAGCTGGGCCTCCGGGCCCTGAATATTGCTGGAGCCAGAAGCATAGCTGGGGGGGAGCGGGGCAGCGGCCGCTCTCCCACAGAGCAGAAGTGGCGCCTTTCAAATTTTTTGGCGCCTTTTTAATTTTTAGTCACCTGGCAGCTCTCCGGGTCTTCAGCAGCAGCTCAGGCGGAGTCATATGGGTCCTTGGTGCCTGGGCTCCAGCCAGTGGCATAGCCAGGTGGAGAAAACGGGGGGAGCGGAGATAAAAAAAAAAAGGCGCCACCCGCTTGGACTCACCCAGCGGCTCTCCAGGTCCTTCACTCGCTCCAGTCTTCGGCAGCATTTCAGTGGCGGGGGGTCCTTCAGTGCCGCCGAAGACCGGAGGGTCAACCCTCTTGATCTTTCTGCAAGAACAGTGGATTTAGTATCTTTGGCCTCTTCCCCTCTCTCTCGGCACAGATACAGAGTGCTCTGTGGGTAATAACTAATTATCTATTTAAACGGTTGTGATTTCCTTCTGTTTAACTTGGTAACTTCTTTCTAACGATTAAAGGGTAGCAGCTGCTGGAGTAACAGGAAGGGAGGGAAGGTTCAGAGTGACAAACCCCTCATTAGTGTTAATGGGACTGAAATCTATTATTTCTGGATATCTGTAACAAAGAGAACCCGAGTCATCGTCATTTTCTCTCAGAAAGGCTCTGTCTGAACTCATTAGTGAATCTCTAGTTGGGAAAGCAAACTTTCTAGTTATACAGGAAACCGCTACTTTTTAGTCATTTCTTCAATCTAGTCCTGT